GTACTTTTTTTCGCCATTTTTTTCCTCACGTGGTCCAAGTTGCCAAATGTTTATGAAATAGTGTGCTGAATGATGATAACGACATATCTCGCGAGGAAACAAACACCTTCAATGACTGTCCATTATATAATATCTCACAAACGTCAAGGAATGTTGTCGTAATTTTGAGAAAATAACACATTTCAGAGACCGACCCCGGGCAACAGTCAACATCGGCTGAGCACAAGCTTATTTTACTGACCTACATGCGCAGTGGGTCCACTTTGACCGGAACCTTTTTCGACGAACATCCCGGTGTCTTCTACGTCTACGAGCCTCTGTGGACACTGAGGCGAGCCGTTGACGGGTTGCAAAATCTCCACGATTCAAACGGGACAGAAATTAAGTAGGTTTCTATACAAACTTATCAGGGACTTTTGGCAAGGTTTGTGTTTTGACGTCTCTCTGCATCTGCAGTGTAGTAAGTCGCGTTACGACCGCGACGGGGGGGGGGGGGGGCGCAACCGTTTTTGGGAAGGGGGGTTTTTTTTAAAAAAAAATTTGCGGGAAAAAAAATTTGTTTGTGTTTTGACGTCTCTCTGCATCTGCAGTGTAGTAAGTCGCGTTACGACCGCGACGGGGGGGGGGGGGTCGCAACCTGTTTTGAGTAAGGGGATATTTTTTAAAAAAAAATCTGCTGGAAAACAAATTTTAGATCCGCTGACATGTTCAAAAGCCAATCATTTATATATATATTTTTTTTAATGAGCTGCATCTATTCCGTTAAAGAGCCGCAAGTTGCTCGTGATCCCTGTGGCTCGTGATCCCTGAGGCTCGTGATCCCTGCGGCTCGTGATCCCTGCGACTCATGGTCCCTGCGGCTCGTGATCCCTGAGGCTCGTGATCCCTGCGGCTCGTGATCCCTGCGGCTCGTGATCCCTGCGGCTCGTGGTCCCTGCGGCTCGTGATCCCTGCGGCTCGTGATCCCTGCGGCTCGTGATCCCTGCGGCTCGTGATCCCTGCGGCTCGTGATCCCTGCGGCTCGTGATCCCTGCGGCTCGTGATCCCTGCGGCTTGTGATCCCTGCGGCTCGTGATCCCTGCGGCTCGTGATCCCTGCGGCTCGTGATCCCTGCGGCGCTTCCGACCGTTGCTCTTGACTGAACGTTACCAATTCACTTCGTCAAACGGGGTGCACACATCAAACTGATGGGAGTTCGTGTCTTTTGTATTTTTGTATTGATAAACGGATTAGTTAAAGATCTCGATGGATGATCTTATCTTGTGAGGACGTTGTCAGAGAGAGGAAGAACAGGAGAGGAAACATACACAGGAAAAACAACACAACAACAACAACAACAACACAACAGCAGGACAACAACAAAACAACAACACAACAGCAACACAACAACACAACAGCAACACAACAACAACACAACAGCAACACAACACCAACACAACAGCAACACAACAACAACACAACAGCAACACAACAACAAAACAACAACAACACAACAGCAACACAACAGCAACACAACAACAGCACAACAGCAACACAACAACAACAACAGCAACACAACAACAACACAACAGCAACACAACAACAACACAACAGCAACACAACAACAAAAACACAACAGCAACATCGGAGGAGAAACAATTGGCCATTACGTCACTTCAACAATTTTCAGAGGATGCTTGTCAGCCACGACGTTGACACGCTCTGTGTTACTAGTGGTCTAAATTTTGTCAAGGCTTTTTTTGTTTACGAACTAGTTTATGGTAGGTGGAGCTAAAAGTGAGGAAGGTTGGGGGGGGGAGTGGTTCGATGTCAGAGTAGTGATGGGTTCCGTTCAAATCTTTCCTAGTAGTGACATGTTGGCAGCGAAATAGATCCTCTTAACTAGGCTTTATTTCGCCACCCCACCCCCACCCCCTTTTACACCGGCCATTCTCCTCCCAGCAATCAACACGGGCCGAAAAGAGTCAATTTAGTATTATAATATAATAATTTATATTTGCTTGAAAAAATATTATAGAACCCTAAAAGACTAGTAAGAAAATTAAGAAAAGTAATTAATTAATTAGACAGCTACTCCATTACAAATCATAAACACTTCCATAGCTAAGGCTATACAATTGTTTTTTCATCGTCGCAAGTATCGCAGGCAACGAAGACATTTTTAGATTGAAAGGCGTGGACACCATGAGGTCGATTCTTGACTGTCATTTTGAGAACCTTGATCCAGTAACTCTATCAGTAAGTACTACAAGTGGCATTTTTTTTCCCTTCCAAATAGCAAATACACTCTGACGATTTAAACAAGAAACCTATGACATGACACCAGATTGACACGGTTTCAAGGGAAGTGTCAAAATATAACGGCATTAGAATAATTGCATACTTATTTCAACAATACAATCTACTGTAGCTTTGGAAACTGAAATTTCAGCATATCTTAAATTATAACCAGCTTACAATAGATTAACTGGATTGTTTTATTTTTTTAAATATATTTCTTCATCCATCTCTTGGAATTTAATCGTTACATTTCTTTTTCAATGGTTTACCAAACATCTTTTTGATAATTTTGCATTTATGAATATATTTTTATTTCAAAGAATTGCAGCTTAACTTAACTATTATGAAAAAAGGAAACATTCAAATACGTATCCTAGCTTATCACATCAATTAAATAATTGAAATAGGTTCACTGACTTTTAACACATGCAATTATTGATGAAATCGTAGCCTTACACACATCAATAGAAAACAATCTTCACTTTTTTTTTTAATGAAAGAATTTTAAAAAGCTTATGCTAAGTTCCATTTTGTTGGGTCTACATCGTCAGCAAGTCCACATGAAACGCAGTAAGTCAAGCTACAAATACAGTCAGTGTCTAAACATATCCTGGGATCACGACGGTGGATATAGTGAAGGTAAGTTAATCCGGGATAGTACCTGAAGGAATGGGTTCAAGCTATGTGAAGGAAATAATGGAACTAGGTATGTTGAAGCTTGAAATGAGAGAAAATTACAATAAAAAGAGACATTATGTTAAAGATTCAAGTGTCAGAAGTTTGACGAGTTGTGGAACAAAGGTAGAGGCGGAAGTGCTACATTATTCACGGAAGCTGGGTTGTCCAAAAACCGAAAACATATGCACTACCTGAAAGATTACAGGAAGTTTAAAAAAACAAGGCATTATTAAAATAGAATTTAAGGTTTTAAAGGAATTTTAAGATTTTTAAAAGATAAACAATTAAAAAAAAAAAAACAACCCTTTGCGATTTCCCTTTTTTGTTTTTTTGTTTTGTCCACTGAAGAAGGCTTATGACCGATATGTTGTCATGTTCTTTCATATCATGCTTCAACATACATGGTTCAACGATTTCCTTAAGTAAATCTAATGACACACGGCGGTGGATACACCAAAAATAAAGTACTCTAATGACACATGGCAGTGGATACACCGAAAATAAAGTACTCTAATGACACACGGCGGTGGATACACCGAAAATAAAGTACTATTATGACACACGGCGGTGAATACACCGAAATTAAAGTACTCTAACGACACACGGTGGTGGATACACCGAAGATAAAGTACTCTAATGACACACGACATTTGATATGAGGCAGGTAAGGTTATCTAGCGAAACCTGACGTTTAAAAAAAAAATAATAATAAAAAATAAAATTCTCATTTAGCTCAGTTATTGGGAGTTTTATTTCGTGATATCAGCGGCATCCTATTTCCTTCACCTTTCTCTTGAAAAACCTGAAAGAACTGATTTTTGGGCTTTTGGGTGAAACATTGGTAGAATGTGTTATCAATGACACCGAGTCTATGTGCAAAGTTTCGGGTCGATAGATTCACCGGAAGTGGGTCAATTAGCCTTCCGAAGATTTTGCCACACACCCAGGCAGAAAGAAACTCCTGAACAAAAGCAAAATTAAAATAAAGGATGTAAAAGTGATGAATTTTTTAAAATTTCACATAAACTATTATATTTTTTTTCAATAGAAAGTACAAATGTGTTTTTGGGCTATATGAAATGACCAATGCCCGGCCCCAACTTAGTCACCGCTACTTGGCTACGCTTACGGTGACCAGGCGGAATGAGTTAAAAGGACCACTGGCAGACCGGATCTGGTCCGCGGGTCGTAGTTTGTAGATTAGCTTGATACCTATGTTATAAATTTCAAATTCAGTGCTAATAAATAATTTCTAGTATGCGAGATTTTGGTTCATTTTTAGGGGGATGATGTGGAGGATTTTTTTGTTCCCGTTTTGGAGTGGGGGGTGGTTTGCATGTATAAATAGTATTTTGTCCGTGTGATCTAATAGACATGCAACACATTTCATGCATTTATTTGATGTCAGCGGCGTAGATGGGATTAGTGCCACAGAAGGGGTTTCCAAGATTTTGTTGTTTCGCCCCCTTTCCCCGAAAAAAAACCCTCGGCAAATGCCCATATATATTAGCGCGCCACATAGAAATAAATTGCCGTTGATTGTTTTCTTTAGAACCGCTCCAAGCTGTTTAATAACACATCATCATCGTATGCTTTTGTTACTATGTCTAACATTCTAATTTGATTATCTCTTCAGGCCTTTCAATTTGATTATCTCTTCAGACCTTTTCATTTGATTATCTCTTCAGGCCTTTTAATTTGATTATCTCTTCAGGCCTTTTAATTTGATTATCTCTTCAGAACTTTTAATTTGATTACCTCTTCAGGCCTTTTAATTTGATTATCTCTTCAGACCTTTTAATTTGATTATCTCTTCAGATCTTTTAATTTGATTATCTCTTCAGGCCTTATAATTGATTATCTCTTCAGGCCTTTTAATTTGATTATCTCTTCGGACCTTTTAATTTGATTATCTCTTCAGACCTTTTAATTTGATTATCTCTTCAGACCTTTTAATTTGATTATCTCTTCAGGCCTTTTCATTTGATTATCTCTTCAGACCTTTTCATTTGATTATCTCTTCAGACCTCGTCAGAAGACTACCTACCTGTTTGAACCTACTGACGTCACGATGTCTGAACTCCAAGGTGACTGCCATCAAAGTCATCGAGGCGTCCATGGCCCAGGCGTGGACCCTCATGGCGGCCGACGGCAAGGTCAAGGTCTTGCACCTCATTCGCGACCCCAGGGGCGTGATCAACTCGAGAAAACTCTTCGGCATTCGTTACTCTTTCGACCCCGCATACATCCAAAGTGTCTGTTTGCGCGTGCTGGAGGACATAAACACTTCTCTAACCCTGTCCAAGATGTTCCCCGGTCGAATTTTAACCGTTCGGTACGAGGATATCGTCAGCGAGCCCATAACGGCCACCCAGCAAATGTACGAGCTCGTGGGGCTCCGCGTCAGTCCGCGCGTGAAAAAACTGATCTGGGACATGACGTCTGCGGGGTTTCCCGACGACTGCAACGTCTGTCCGGTGCGCAGCAACGCCACGGAGACCGCCAGAAACTGGAGACGGAAGCTCGACTTCCCGACAGTCGCCGCGATACAGGGAGAATGTCAGACGCTGCTCGTTCGTATGGGATACAGGATTTTCAGGAGCGAAGATGAGCTGAGAGACTTCGACGTGTCTTCGACATTTGGCGAGTACGACTCTAGAGTGATGAAAGTCAACGTGAAAAGTATTAAGTTGAAGTAAACATTGGGCAGAAAATAGTTCGTTCTCCACTTTATGTTGAAATATGATCAAAGCTGATCATTTGATGCAGCCGATGTCAGAATCGGTTGACCAACTTGTCCCATATACCGGCAACGCGATGCAGCGTGTTTAACGCACTGAGCAGAATTTGTTAGTGGGTAATAGCTAAATCTATAGTCCAATTCATCCGCGGCACTTGTTTCAGAAATGGAGATATTATGTGTGTGGGGGGGAGGGAGGGGGTGGGCCCATCACCAGCTCATGTTTCAGTAAGTTGCAGTTGTTATTATAAGAACGCTTTAAGATAAAAAACGTTTATATGTAAGCTTTAATTATAAGACAAAATACAAATTTAAACAATTCGGTTAATGCGAACTGAGTCTACCAGTTAATTTTTTTCAAGGTTGTAAAAAAAATCGCTTGTGACGCTAGAGAGATAAGGATGCCGTTAATAAATTAGTATAGTAGCTTAGACGCACTGCTTAGACGCACTGCTTAGACGCACTGCTTAGACGCACTGCTTAGACGCACTGCTTAGACGCACTGCTTAGACGCACTGCTTAGAGGCACTGTTAAGGGGCGCTTCCAAGAGGCAATGTTTAGAGGCAGTGCTTAGAGGCAGTGTTTAGAAGCACTGGTTAGAGGCTTGGAGGCACTGCTTGGGGGCGCTGCTTGGAGGCGCTGCGTAGAGGCGCTGCGTAGAGGCACTGTTTAGAGGCACTGCTTAGAGGCACTGTTTAGAGGCGAAGCAACGACAAGTCTTCAACGCGAAGAAAAAGGTTTTGAAATTAAAAAGCGATTATCCAATCGTCTTCTTGATAAACCAACAGAGCTATTGGTTTTAAATAACCTAAGGATACGTTCTTTTTTTATTGAGTTCTAAATTAAAGTTCTTACTTGTGCAACAGGGGAGCTAGTCTTATTCTGGAGAATTAGTTCTTCGACTGAAACTCTAATGTAGATCAAATGCGGTGGAAATTTGTACAGATCAAACATCTACAGTGCTGAAGAGAAGTGAGTCTGTAAGAAGAACAATAAATGAAAGGACTAAGTTCAAGCTGTATTGAAATAGAAAGTAGTTCAAAAACATTAAAGGCGAAACTTGAATTTTTGTGTTCAGTCTGCTGAGGAAGGCTGTTAGCCGAAACTTTTTTTTTTGTTTTTTGTCTTCTCTTTCTATGTCGAGCTTCCACATAACTTTTTCTGCTATTTTCTTCTGTAAGAGGAACTATAAATTGTGTTTTCCCCAGTTTCAAGACAATCTTCAGACATGCATCCGACCTGAAGAATTGGTACGAGAACGCATACCTTAACAACATTGTCGTTTTCGAATATATATAGTATTTGAAATTCTTTAACAAAATCTGGTTACAAAAGTTACAAATGCCTGCTCTACTTACCATAAGGTTACAAAAAAAAATAAATTGCAATCTCTTCAAGATGAGTTACAGAATAAAAGTCTTACTTTTCTACGAGCCTGTGACTTGATGATGGTGAAGGAATAAAAGTGTATCTTTTATAAGAATGGGTGACGTGTGGATGGTTACGAAATGAAAGTGTAACTTTTATAAGAATGGGTGACTTGTGGATGGTTACGGAATAAAATAAAAGTGTAACTTTTATAAGAATGGATGACTTGTGGATGGTTATGGAATAAAAGTGTAACTTTTATAAGAATGTATGACTTGTGGATTGTTACGGAATAAAAGTGTAACTTTTATAAGAATGGATGACTTGTGGATAGATTTAAGCGCTTGTTAAAATCTGATCAAGGCGCGCCTACAATAAATATGTGCAAAAAATGCAGTACTTGCTGTTTGTCTAATGATAACTTGATTGACCTGAACAACGCCCCTGGCCATCACCCCATCCACCTTAAATCATGTACATTTCCACCCCTCCCCGGGCCGTCATGTCAGTATCGTCATTTACTTTGTCTTTTGCATCGTCTTCACAGCGATAATTCAAACAATTCACATCGTTCATTTAAAAATAAATGAATGAATAAAACGAAACAATAAATACATTTAAAAAATAAAGAAACTAACATTCAAAGAAACAAGGTAATTAGAGACTGTTATTTACTTTATTATTATTAGTAATATTATTAGCGTTAGTATTTTTATTTGTATCCCTATTTTCGTCTTATTATTATTCCTTTTCTTCTTATTATTAGTATTATCTCTTATATATATTACGCTTCTGTTGTGACTCATGGGCTGCTTCCTCATAAATTGCTTCCTAATAGACTTCTTCCTAATCAGCGAATTTGAAATTGAGAGTATATTACAAATAATTCTAAATGTTTGAAAGAAAGTATGGTTCAATAGTGAGTTCAATAGTGCGCAAAATATAATTCCCGATAACTACGCTAAAATGATTTATTTTTATTTTTAATAAACGCAACTGCGTTTGGCGCGCAATACTTTCTTTTCGGAAAATGAAATCGTCTCAATTTTAGTATGGTGTAACAAAAAAATATTCGGTTTAAAAGTGGTTGGGATATCACACTATTTAATAAAGCTCGTGGGCGTGAAATAAAAAGTGTGCAGTGATGCATCATGGAGGGAAGGGGTGTAGCAAAAATTGGGATTCTTAAATGTGCGTTACTTGAGTTCATCTTTTGTCAAGTAACTTTAGTGGATGGGAAGTTCACACATTGCTGCCACCAATGTTTGGCGGGCTATATCTAGTTATTGCTATTGTTATCACTATTTTCTTGTACTTCTTCTTCTTCTTCTTTTTATTATTTTTGTTTTTAATTTTTTTGTTTTTTTAAAGCTAAAATTTCAACTGTTCTTTGAAAATTGAACCAAACGCATTCCAAGTGACGGAGTAGTCTCCCCCATCTGTGCCACTTTCTCAACATTTCATGCGTCACAACCACAGAATTGAAAGACGAGGTGAATCGGGAAATCAGCAAAAGAAATGGATTTCAAATAACGTACCACCTGTTGGCTCAAGGTTGGATGTGTGTACCTATAGCGTTTCAATTTGTTTTCAAATATCATTACTCCGCAATTCACCTACCAGAAAAAACTCACCACAGTGGATGAGATTTTGTCAGATGTCTCTCAGGTACATGAAATTTTTTTTTTTTTTCTTTAAGTAGAACTAGATTTTTGTATCATAGTTGGTTTATTTTAATCAAGCAATTCGGCTATACACTAAGTTTTGCCTGCTATTTAGCTCTGTCACAATATGTTTTGCTTGGTTAGAGATTTAACTTCGTAAGATATTAAGCTTAGAAACATACTTTTAAATAGATATTTAGCTTTTCAGATTTTTATTTTTCAGATATTTAGCTCAGTCAGATATTTCGTTTTATTTTAAATTTACCTTTGTCAAATACTTAGCTTTGTAAAATTAATTTTTGTTTTGTAATCTCTCAGTTTTTCCTCCTACATAATATAGAAAGCCTGGGCCTTTTATAGAATGGGTGGGCCTTTTGTAGAATACCTGGACCTTGTATAGAATGCGTGGGCCCTTTGTAGAATAACTGGGCCTTTTATAGAATGCATGGGGCTTTTGTAAAATATCTGGGCCTTGTATAGAATGCGTGGGCCTTTTGTAGAATACTTGTGCCTTGTATAAAATGCGTGGGCCTTTTGTAGAATACCTGGGCCTTGTATATAATGCGTGGGCCTTTTGTAGAATACATGTGCCTTGTATAGAGCAACCAACAATGGCGTAGCGTACTCAAGCTAAGCTATTGACTGGCCAGCAACTTAAATACTTGGTAGATGTTATAAAACTTTAATTTGTGGTAGCTTTTAAAACAACTCTAGATCATGGTAGATTTTCATACAACTTTAATTAATATGATGGAGACTTTATTCAACTTTACATCGTAATAGATTTTATACAACTTTACTATGTGGTCAATTTCATGCAAATTTACATCGTAATAGATTTTATTCAACCTTAATCCATGGTAGATTTTATACAACATTAATATGTGGTAATTATAAAACAACTCGAATATGTGGTATGTATTTTAGCTTTCAGTGGTAGGTAAATCCCATATTGCCATAGCACGACAAGTATGCAGTTAGCCCATACTTTACTTGAAAGGTTTCACACCACATTTAAAATCTATAAGCATTAAAACAGGCCGCGAAATTAAAATGATAATTTTCCTGGCGCCAGATTGGAGAACATTCTATATAAAAAATATAAAAAAATTAACTCTTCTTATTAGAGGCAGGGTCGTATCACTAAACCCAATTCAGTACTCAGGCAGCTCAGGCGTGTATTAAACCTTTTTAGGTACTCTGGTGAGATGTGGAATCAAACCTATTTAGGTACTCAGGTAAGGTGTGTGATTAAACCTTTTTAGGTCCTCGGGTAAGGTATGTGATTAAACCTGTTTAGGTACCCAGATGAGGTGTGTCATCAAACCTATTTAGGTACTCAGGTGAGGTGTGTCATCAGACCTGTCATAGGTACTCAGGTGAGGTGTGTCATCAGACCTGTCACAGGTACTCAGGTGAGGTGTGTCATCAGACCTGTCATAGGTACTCAGGTGAGGTGTGCCATCAGACCTGTCATAGGTACTCAGGTGAGGTGTGTCATTAAACCTATTAAGGTACTCAGATGAGGTGTGGCATCAGACCTGTCATAGGTACTTAGTTGAGGTGTGTCATTAAACTTATTTAGGTACTCAGGTGAGGTGTGTCATTAAACCTATTTAGGTACTCAGGTGAGGTGTTTCATTAAACCTATGTAGGTGCTGAGGTGAGGTGTGGCATCAGACCTGTTATAGGCACTCTGGTGAGGTTTGGGATTAAACCTATGTATGTACTAAGGTGAGGTGTATCATTAAACCTTTTTTACGTACTCGTGCGAGGTGTGGAACTAAACCTATTGATGTACTCAGGGGAGGTTGTATTCAAACCTGTTTTAGGAACTCAGGTGAGATGTTGGACAGTAATGGTTTTGAAACGATGCCATAGAGCAGGGGTCTCAAACTCGCGGCCCGCTGGGCATTAGCGGCCCGCAAGACGATATTTTGCGGCCCGCGACATGAAAGCAAATTTTGTGTTAATGCGGCCCGCACGGTTTCTCCCCATTCTCACATATATAATTTTTACCCTACGCAACGGTTTCTGTCGAGCCTTACCAATTCTGGTTTTATTATTATTTTTTTGGTATAGATTTGGACGTTGATTATAATGGTAAAAACCGTTTTAAAATCGGACTAAAAGTTTTTA